GAGTAGTTCTCGTACGAGTTACACACAGCTGCCATCTCCCATTCATTCTCCTGCTCTTCCAGATCCTCTCGAAAGTCGAGAATAAACAGACGCGACGAAGACGCGGTCGACGCGTCTCGCGCGCACGCGCAGGACCGCGTCGCGTCCTGAGCTTGTCACTCCGTGACGGCTATTATTTCGGCGCGTTTCGCCCTATCTGAGCCTTGCTGCTCAATGTGCTCGGATTTTCTTCGAGAAAAAAATCCATTCAGGTATCGTACGTCTATCTAACGTCTGCATAGCCATACCGAAGGGAAGAAACGGGTGGGATGGGGTCAACGGACGTCGCCGGGCTTCCGCCAGCCAGCAGCGATGACGTACCGGGTCTGGGGGCCACGCGAGCGGCTCGGTTTGAAACCGCCCACCTCTTGCTGCGGCGCGGTGCGGCGATGCAGACTCGGAATGTTCTCGACGAGAGATGCTATCTGCTTATTACTTGTACTGTTCCACTGTTCAGAACCCGCTGAAAGCTTCGTCACTATTTTCTACCTGAGTGCTGGAGCCGTTCGCTGTTGAACTTCTAGCTCAGTAGTATGAGGAAACGAACACGCAACGGAAAGAGCAGAGATTGATCGGATCACGATGTTCAGGCAATCGCCGGTGGACCGGTGCCTGACACGGATTTTGCAAGTGGGAAACCTAGTCAAGCTAGGTAACTATAAACGAACACGCAACGGAAAGAGCAGAGATTGATCGGATCACGATGTTCAGGCAATCGCCGGTGGACCGGTGCCTGACACGGATTTTGCAAGTGGGAAACCTAGTCAAGCTAGGTAACTAGTCAAGCTAGGTAATTGGGGACATTTCGACCAGACGAAACGACGGAAATATGACCGGAAATAGGTTTCTCGTTGACCTAAAACGGACGAGGAAAAATCCTTGGCCAAAACGGGTCGAGAACAATGGCCAAGCGGCTCAAGAACAAGGGGCACTTCCATTTTGGGCGTCCAGTCTTTCCCGGGGAAAACGGCGTCCAAATGACACATCTCGACGTTCATGTTTCCCTTGTTTCTCCCGGCCAAAACCGCCCCCATCCTGGCAGTGTTGTGCCGGACGTTCGTTTTCGGGTATATGTGATATCGCCCGTCGGCGTATGTTTTTTCTCGTGTCCTGAGCAGGTTATCTTTAGCGGTATGTATTGCATGAGCTGCAAATGCTCAAACTGCTTAGTGTGAGAAATACCGTCAGAAAGCAAGTGCAAAAGGCAGGTGACCGCGTCCCCTTTTTCTCCAGCTTTCTTCGTGCGATGACGTCGCTGCCCTCAACGGCGGCTCGACGGCTGGGTGAGATACTTCATGTATGGGCTGCAAGTGTCACCTTCGTCTGAACTGCGGGTTTGGCACCTCGCGCGTAAGCCGAGGACGAGCGCAGCGAGTCCGAGGCGCGCGCGATATGGCGAACATATCTATATCAAGTTCCCGTGCTGGGCACGGGTAAATGCTCGTCCAGATACATAGAGGAGACTATCGGGACCAGGACGCCTGGAAGGCCGTACTATTGACATGGTCGCTGGTAAAGACAGCGAGAATGCGGAGAAGTGCCTGGCATCAGAGTTGGCAGCCGCGGCTCCGCGGCCCGATGGATCGGCTTGACGCGCGCCGAGATCGTTTCCTCCGTGTCTTGCCCGTGCATGGGCGCTTCACGACTTCGGCGTTGGTAAGACTTGTTCGTGAGTAATGGGCGCTGCGTCGAGAAGTGGTTCGACGGCTATTCTGAGTGCAGGATCTGTGCTGCGCGTGAACCGACGGCACGAAGTGGGGATGGACGGCATCCCAAGCCACGAGCGCATGAGCTGAGCGTCACCGTCATGCTCCACCCGGCCAAAGGCTATAACTCGGGCCCCGCATAATCTGGCCACTTTCCTCTCAACCATCGTCCTACTGCCAACATGGGCATGTACGACAAGACACCCGTATACGAACACTTTGAGGATCACTTCTGGGCACACGAGCCATGGAAGACCCTCTACGTCCTCCAACGAGTCCTCACCACTATGCTTCTCGTCCCCGGCTGGGTTCTTTACTATGGCATCATGCCCCGTCGCTACCGTCCTCGTCCTAGCTGGTCTATCAAACAAATCATCATCGTCAAATTCATGAAGCGGGTCTCTCGTGTCGTGGAGGTTGCTGGAGTTACATGGGGCACACACGACCCGACGGTCGAGCCGGACCCGAAGAGCCTGAAGGAGACGCGCTTCGAATGGGTGCCCGAGCTCACTGGAGACCTGCGCACGGGTATCGTCGACGACCCTCACGTGGAGTGCAAGCGCGTGGGCACGTACATCTGGCCGAAGGAACCCAAGGCGAATACGCGTATGCGCGGGAACACGAAATCGGTGAGGGAGAAGCAGTCAAGCGCGCAGGCACGGCCTGACGCTACCGATCTCGAGAACGACGCCGTTGACGCACCGCCTCGGCTCGTCGGCATCTACCTCCACGGCGGAGGATACTGCCACTACTCGGCTCACGAATCTTCGGGAACGTCGCGCGTCCCTCGGCGCTTAATCGAGGACGGTCTATTCCAGGAAATTCACGGTGCGTATCGGCGGGGCGTCTACGAGAGGCGCCGTCACTTCCGTGCCACAACTCTGATCGCTGACGTGTTGCCTTTTACTAGCCGTCGAGTACCGCCTGCTGCAGCATGCGCCCGTCCCTGCTGCGATTCAGGACGCGGCCGCCGTGTACGCAAACCTCGTTATCAACGAACTTGGCGCGAAGAAGGGTCCCGACGGGCGCTACTACCTCCCCGAGTCCAACTGCGTCCCTCGTACGGAAAACCAAGTCGCGAACTTGCCGGAGAACACGCTCAGGCGTGCCGAGGCCCGCGCCCAGGAAACAGGCGAGCGCCCGGATCCGGTCCCGCTCCCAACGCACCAGGAAGAGATCTCATCGACTATTGCCGCTCCCGCTGGCGCCGCATCGGCCCCACCACTCGCGAAGACAACGTCCAAGCATTCCAAACGCCACTCGTTGAGCCTGAGCCGCACAAAGTCGCCGGAGGGTCATCGCAAGTCGATCGACAGCGTGCAGCCGATGTTCTCTGGCAACGATGCTGTCCCGACCATTCACGTCAATTTGGCAAGCGATGACCATCTCGCATCAAGCGGCGATAGTGAGACGCTCGCACCCCGCTCGACGCCTGGTACACCGTATCCGGAAGACCGTCTGCCGCGAGGCCGTTCCCGTACGAAGATCATACTCATCGGCGACTCGTCTGGCGGCAACCTGGCACTTGCCCTCGCGCGCTGGATTCGCGACGAGGCGCTCCTCCCACCACCGGACGGCATGCTCTTGCTCTCGCCCAGTTGCGACCCCAGCCACACGCTTCCTCAGGTTCCCGCCAGTCGTCGCCCACGCCCACACGAAGCGACAGACTACCTCTTAGACACGCCCGAGCCCCGCGCACTCTTGCAACGCACCTTCCTCGGTCACCACCCACCCGAGTTCGTCTACTCGCCCTACATCTCCCCGTCGTCCGAGTGGGTCGTGTCTGTCTTTCACGGCACAGAAAACGGCATGCAGGATCTCGAGGCTATTCCCGATATCCAAGCCGGCGCCGATACACGCACCTACCGTGAAGGTCCCGGTGACTGTGCTGCGTGCGAGCATCTCGCCGCACAACGCCCCATCGGACCGGCACGTACGATGAGCACGAACCCATACATCACGGATCCGAGCGGCCAGGGCCTATTCACGAACTTCCCTCGTGCGCTCATCACTGTTGGTGACGCCGAGCGTCTTGAGCGCGAAGTCCTCGCACTCGAACGCGCCATGGAACGCGACGGTGTGCGCGTGCGTATGGTCTGGGCTAAGGATGGCTGCCACGACTTGCTCATCCTGGCGAGTTGGGACGAAAAAGTGCGCGAGGGTATCTGGGCCGCCATCCACGAGTGGGTGCGCGAGATAGAGAATGATCCATAGATGGGGTAGACGGAATTTGCCGCGCAGTATTGTGCGCCACACGATGTATAATGACTGGAGACGGTGATGGACGTTCGCTGTATTACTTGCTGCTCTTTGTTATCTGTTTTGTGTACTTTTGATATACCTACGTAGTTTTACCCTAGCCTATCGTCAATACCATCGCGGATTGTACCATATGTACTCTCTTTGTAGGCGGTGGCAGACGTTGGAGGACTCGCTTGTGCTCAGTACGCTCATTGATCGCATCCCGGCCATTGCAGCCCTTCATGTTGCCCAGAGATTGATCATACAGTCTTCCAGATCTGCATTGCGACATATTCGACTGCGGTTCAGGCTACGACCCAGCTTACCGAAGCTGATTGCGCCACCTTCGCTTGCTGTGATTGGCTCCCGACGCGACCATTGTCTTTGTCATCCGCTTCTTACTGTTAAGCGCTCGCCATCGTCTCGATATTTGGCTGATGATGCTGGCTTACTTCGGCTACGAGCACGCTATACTGGTAGTCAGATAGGGCTGAACGACCAGGATGATCTCTCGATGTCTTGCTGGTGAATGGTTCGCGAGGAACGGCTTGTTCAGCAATGGAATTCGCCATCCGCTGTATGACCTGGACTCTGGCTCTCAACACGCATATATATATTGAGATTGCGGGCCCGGACTTAGCAACATCGCTCTCTCACAAGCCTCCGTACCCTCCTACTTCGACAACAAGAAACTACTGGAAGATGGCAACCCCTGCCGGAGTCCGCGAACACAAAGAGTAAGCCGTCCACGCCCTTTCTCCTAGACTGTACCCGTCTGACCGCGTCTCCTCCCAGCGTGTACCCCGCCATCGATCCCACCCAGACCTTTGCCGCTCAGTCGTATGCAGGCAAGGTCGTCCTCATTACAGGCGCAAACGGTGGTCTCGGTGCCGTTGCCGCACAGTTCTACGCCCGCGCCGGCGCATCCGTTGCCCTCGTCGCACGCAGCGCGGACAAGCTCAAGGCTGTAATCGCTGGTGCACCTGGTGCGGAAGATCGCATGTTCTCTATCGAGGCAGATGTGCGGGACACGCGTGCCGCTGAGGACGCCGTGAAACAGACTGTCGAGAAGTTCGGCAAGCTGGACAGTGGGTCGTTCGTCGACGTGAACTTGAGTGCTTGCGCTGACTGAAGATAGTCCTTATTGCGAATGCGGGAGTGATCACATCCTTTAACGAATGTGTGTCCATCTACAAGTCGAGTGAGTATATGCATTGACATGTGCGATAGCGATCGAGACGAAGGATCCCCAGACGTACTGGAATACGTTCGAGGTCAATGTGAAGGTGCGTCGCAATCGCCACGACCAAGAGCAACACTCACTATGGTCCCCAGGGCGTATACAACTATGTTCGGTACGTTCCCCGTCTTGAATGGTCACCGAATGCCGCTCATCTTGGGGATTAGGGCGGCAATCCCAGAGATTAGGAAGTCGGAGGGTCAGATCCTGGTCACAACATCCGGCATGGCATACATGCGCGTACCGAACAACAGCGACTACGCCGTATCCAAGCTCGCCGTCAATGGCCTCGTTGAGTTCATTCACCTCGGTAAGCCGCTTTGATCAGGCGGCAATGATCTCTCTCTCAACAACGTGTGCGACATAGAGTTCCCCAACATCCCGGTCTACGCCCTCCATCCCGGCGTGGTGGAGACAAACTTGGTCCGCAGCGTTGAACTGCCGGACTCGTTGCCCGCCGCCAACGTGCCCTTCGACACGCCTGAGCTCTCGGCCGCCACGATGCTGCACCTCACGCTCGGGAAGGCGCCGTGGTTAAGCGGGAGGTACTTCTCGTCCAACTGGGACATTGAGGACGTGGAGAAGTTGTGGAAGGAGAAGATTGTTGAGGGTAATGCGCTAGTAAGCGTTCTCGCGGCGCCCTAAATGGGCTTCGGACTGCCAGGGCGTTTGTCGTGCCGTATATTTGAGATCGAGAAGAGGAGACTATTCATGCTCAAGCTGAAAGCGTCGGTATCACGAGTCATTGGCGAAGAGTGTAACGTGAAGAGAGACGTAGAGAATCTGTATGTCTTCTTATGTATGTGCCAAGTAGAGAAAGGGATGGCATTAGGAGCAACGGGAGGCAAGAATTGTCCCCAACTAGTGGTGGTCCAAAGTCAAGCGGCGTGGGATGCGTGGCAGACGCGATCAACTCGACGCGGCATCTGCCCGATTGTAAGTTGTCTTCGCTCCTCCACCATTCTGCCCAAGTACCTGCTAAATAACGTTCCCCGAACACTCCTCTCGTTTACTTGAACGTGTTATAACGAACATCTCTCAATGTCATCCGTCAGCAACTCTGCTCTATGTGCGCGAGACATCCGGTCGGAATCGGAGTGCTGCTTCAACTCGGTGCTTTCAAAGCAGCGCGGGGCGAACACACTAGCTTCTACTGAAACAGTACTTTGAGCGGGAAGCCGGTTCGCGAACCGGATTATCTCCTGCTCTACGCCATGCTCCTCTCACTTCGCAATGCTCTGTAATGCTCTCACCCGCTTGTTTCGTGCCTTTTATACCGACGCACTCGGTGTACAGGGATGAAGGCGCACCGATCTCGCTGAGTAACCATCGACCCTGCAGACATCGCTCGGTTGGTGTACCGGTCAAGCAGCACAGTGTCAGAGGTGTTCTTTTGCGCGGACATGCACTATAAGAGGCTCTCACTAAAACCCTATGCTCGCAGCTTCACCTTAAGGACTTACGCCCAAAAAGTCACTTCCAAGCCTCAATGGAACCGCAGCCTCTCAAGTTTCCTGCTGGAGTACACATCCGCAAAGAGTGCGTACATCCATTCTCTTACAGGCTTGTACTAACTGGCTTTGATCACAGTGTATACCCGACCATCGACCCAACCCAAACCTTTGCCGCTCAGTCGTACTCTGGCAAGGTCGTCCTTGTCACTGGCGCAAGTGGTGGCTTAGGAGCCAAGACGGCGCAATTCTACGCGCGCGCTGGTGCATCAGTCGCCCTTGTCGCTCGTAACAAGGAGAAGATACAAGATGTCATCGACGGCGTGCCGGGGGCTAAAGACCGCATGATCGCGCTCTCCGCGGACGTGACGGACTTTCACGCGGCTGATGCCGCCGTCAAGCAAACAGTGGAGAAGTTCGGAAGACTTGATAGTAAGTCCCGTCTACTACTGGACGCTCTCAATTCTGATGAGCTATAGTTCTCGTTGCGAACGCTGGCGTGATGACGTCCTATACCAAGAGTGAGCCTATCCATTTGACGTCGCAGGATCGCTGTAACGAATCTCATCTCCAACAGCCATACTAGAGAAAGATCCTGACGTTTACTGGAGGACGTTCGAGGTCAACGTGAAGGTATTGTCCTCTGTCCTAGTCTTGCGTGATGATGAGCTAATCTCCACGGACAGGGAGTCTTCACATTCATACGGTATGTCAAGTCCCGAACCTTATCTTCAGCGCTAGCATTGATCTCTTGCCTCGTAGAGCCGCCCTCCCCGAGTTACAGAAGGCTAACGGCCAAGTCATCGCAGTATCTGCAGGGCTTGCGTACATGAATGTTCCGAACAATAGCGACTATGCCATATCGAAACTGGCGGTTAATCGTCTGGTCGAGTTCATACCTCTAGGTGATGACCCTTCGTTTTCACTGTCTAAGAACAAGCGCTCACACACCCTTCGTCAGAGTTTCCGTCGGTTTCTGCAATCGCTGTTCATCCTGGCGTGGTCAAGACGAACATGACGACCACGGTGGAGCTTCCTGACTCGCTCCCTGCCGCCAAAGAGCCCTATGACACGCCCGAGCTGCCCGCGGCGACCATCCTCTACCTCACTCTCGGCCAAGGAGTTGAGTGGTTGAACGGAAGGTACTACTCTGCTAATTGGGATATCGGCGACGTGGAGAAGCTGTGGAAGGAAAAGATTGTCGCCGGGAATGCTCTTGTGACTCAGCTCGCTGTACCGATGTAAGAGAGGAGTTCATGCATCCTATTGCCTCCTTATGAATGCTCCGATGCTCGCAGTACAAGCCATGCGCCTAATGACAGTGGTATGGACCCCTTCTGTCGTCGCGGAAATCAGTACAAGAACCTCGCCCTCATTTTGTTCAATGCAGCTCGGCCGAGAGCTCCGGACTTCGGACTCATCGCGCAGGACATCCGGCAGAACTCGGGTGCTGCTTCGACTAGTGTCCGGCGAATGTCGCCGGGAGATTCACAGAGACCAGATTCGCGACGTGAATCACGGTGAATTCTCCTGCGAATCTGGTCGGGCCGCCAGAGGCCTTGCGAATCTGGTGGGCGAATGTGGGCCCAGGCGACTACCGCGGGTATGTTTTGGCAGCGGAAGAGCTGACG